ACCTCCAGATAGAGAGGTAGAGTTCAAGATTTAAACTTATCCTGGTTATGTACCTATTTCTATGGCACCATATCATATGGCCCCAAAAGAACTTAAGAAGTTGAAGGTTTAGTTACAGGAATTACTTAATCAAAGTTTCATCAGACATAGTACTTCACCCTATGGAGCTCCGATCCTGTTCGTGAAAAAGAATGATGTATCACTTAGGCTATGTATTAAATAACGGAAGTTGAATAAGTTGACGGTTAAGAATATATACCCACTACCCATGATTGATGACTTATTCGATCAATTACGAGGATCTATTGTATTATCAAAGATTGATCTTCACTCGAGGTACTATCAGTTGAATGTTAAGGGGTCAGATGTTGCGAAGATTGCCATCTACATTAAATATGAGCATTATGAGTTCCTGGTGATACTTTTTGGTCTGAAAAATACTTCCGCAACTTTCATGGATATGATGAACCATGTGTTCGACCCTATTTAGATCAGTTCATAGTGGTTTTCATTGATGATATTTTGGTCTATTCTCGGATCTAAGTAGAGTATGATGACCATTTGAAGATTGTTCTGCGGACTCTGAGAGAGCATCGTCTATATGCTAAGCTGAGCAAGTGTGAATTTTAGCTTCGGGATGTATCATTTCTTGGGCATATTATTTTGGCAAAGGGTATTTAGGTCGATCCAAGTAAAATTAAGGCTATTGTGAGTGGGAAGCAAACAACCTGGCGTTGGGGGCAGCCTACTACCCCACCTCCCCCTTACCCCATTGCATATGAGAATAGGGTTTTATTGTTGTTGTTGTTGTTATTGTTGTTGTGAGTGGGAAGCAACCCATGAATGCCTCCGAGATCCGTAGTTTCTTGGGCTTAGTCGGGTATTATCGATGTTTTGTTGAGGCCTTCTCGATCATTGCCGCCCCTTTAACGAAATTGTTGAGGAAGAATATTTCATTTGACTAGGGCGACGCACAATAAGAGAGTTTTGAGACATTGAAGACGACCTTGACTCAAGCTCTAGTTTTGACTCAACCTGAGCCCAAGAAGGATTTTACGGTGTATAGTGACGATTTACACTCTAGACTTGGTTGTGTTCTGATGCAAGAGGGGAGGGTAATTGCTTATGCATCCTATCAGTTGAGGTCGCATGAGTGCAATTACCCAACCTATGATTTGGAGTTGGCAGCTGTGATCTTTGCTTTAAAGATCTTGAGACACTATCTTTATGGAGAGAAGTGTTATATTTTTACTGATCATAAGAGTTTGAAGTATATTCTGACCCAGAAGAAGCTTAATCTGAGGCATCATCGTTGGCTTGAGCTTCAAGGATTATGATTGCGAGATTGACTACTATCTGAGTAAAGCTAATATCATTGCTGATGCTTTGAGCCAGAAGACGATAACTGATCTGAGGTCCTTGTTACCAGTATGAAGTTATATGACAATGTCATTCTGTTAGCAGAATTACAGGTTAAGCCGACCTTAGCTGAGGAGATCAAGGCCAATCAACCTCTTGATAGTTACTTCACACCCATCTTTGAGCAAGTAGAGCAGGGCACTACCTCAGATTATGCTTTCGACCAGGATGGATTTTTATGTTTCAATGGTCGATATTGTGTGCCCAATGATGCAGCATTAAGACAGGCTATCCTCAGTGAGGCTTACAATAACCCTTATACTATGCACCTTGGTGGAGATAAGATGTACTAAAATCTCAGAGAGAGGTGCCATTGGGTCGGCATGAAGAATGACATCTCTAATTTTATGGCTAGATGTTTGACTTGTCAGCAAGTTAAGGCAGAGCACTAGCATCCGTCGAGTCTGTTACAGCCTATCATGATCCCCGAATGAAAATGGGAACATATTACTATGGATTTTGTTACTGGGTTGCCTTTGACTCATAAAAAAAGGGACTCTGTCTGGGTGTTTGTCGATAGACTTACAAAGTCGGCTCATTTTATTCTGGTGCGGGTAAAATTTTCTTTGGACAAGCTGGCTATATTGTATATCTTAGACATCGTCAGATTGCATGGTGTTATGCTATCTATCATTTATGATCGAGGTCTGAGATTTACTTCGAGATTCTGGGAAGCACTACATGAGGCTTTGGGTACTAAGCTTAATTTCAGTATAGCTTTCCACCCGCAAATTGATGGTTAATCTGAGCGAGTAATTCAGATTCTTGAGGATATATTGCAAGGTTGTGTGATTGATTTTTGGGAGGACTTATTGTGTACGATTCGATACGACATTCAAACAAGAAGTGAACTTGAAATAAATTGAGTCTATTTGATATTTAAATATATGATAATATATTCGTTTGATTTCTTTTATAGCTTGTGATTTCTTCTCAAAATAGGTGATGTCCACTAATAAATAATTCGAAATAAATTATTCAAATGTTTAATAAAATGGATCATACTTTACTTTAGATACAAATTTACAATCTCTACTGCTATGACAACATATAAGCGACTAGGTACCAATTTTAAGCACTATGGGGGTACTTACCCTTCCCTATGCGTAATCAACTCCTAAATCCTTAAAAATGAATTTTTAGTAAATGCATACCAACTTTTATCTTTTAAATAATATTTCTTAAAATTATTTTAAAAAGTGTTTTTTAGGTATTAGATCTAAGTAACCTAAAGGTCGATGACGACTCTAAAGCAACTTAATCAAATTAATTGAATTAAATCAAAAATCAAATAAGGTCGATGACGACAAGATGTACTAATAGTACCCAAAGCTTCCTGAAGTGACATATAAAATCGAGATGTAAACTGATGTTGTCGACTGGAAATCATAGAATATGAACACCATACAATCTTACTACCTCTATAATATAGGGATTGGTAAACTTCTCTTAATTAAAATAGTTCGGATTAGAAAAAAAATGAGTAGATTTGGTCATTCTTCTTTGGAGATAAAGGCAAACTAATTACGAAATCCATTGTGATCGTATCCTATTTCCACTAAAGTAAATAGATAAGCTGAATTAGTGTAGTAGGAACTTGACGTTTAGCCTTAAATTGTAGACATGTCAAACATTTGAAAATGAATTCAGTGATAACCTTTAGAACATGCCAATTGTATCGGAGGACCTAACCAAGTATCTTAGGGCTTAATTATCACGTTTCAAAGTATAATCCAAATCCTATTCATACACGACTTTCTCATAAATCATTTTATCGTATGATAAGAGTTCATAACTTTATTTAGTCTAATTACTCATATTGAACACTAAATTTACAAAGCATATGACCACATCACAATCCGAACAATGTATACACAAAATCAATATTACGAAACATCATTATAGCTTGTCGAAACATCATTATAGCTTGTCGAAACTTAATAAAATCAAAATAATGTCATTCGAAATGCTCTAGTTTAGTCAATACATATATTTCAAATACCTACACATTCAAATTGAAATACATAATCACAAGCACAAACACTTGAGTCCATAACTTTAGGAATTTCCACCAAACTCATTTTCTATCAAAATCAAAACACAAATTTTAGGAAACAATCATCACACATGTACATATTCACATATAAATTCTAATCACCATAAAATCTTAAATTAAATCAAAATAAGGGTTACACTTAATTTTTTAAAAAGGGGATTTGTATGTATTATAGAAAAACACATACAAAAACGACAATGAAAGGGTCTCATTAAAAAAAACCTTCCTAAACCTAGGATGAAGGAAAAATAGTGTACCTTTCAAGTCGAAACGTTAAAAACACAGTATAATATATCCACCACAAAGCCATACTCAAGGAACACACATTGAAAAACAAACTACATAATCTCAAACACAAGCTAAGATGATAATCAATTGGTATTGAATTACATAGCTATACTTGGGAAAATGGAATTATCCATCTTTCTTCATATATCAAACGATGAATATAGAGGGGAAACCCACTATTATATCCTTCATTTCCTCCTTATTTCTCTTAAACAATTAATTTTACAATATTTATAATTTAATCCCTAAACTTTCAATAATTATATTTTAGTCTTCAATGTAAAATTATAATCAAACCCTAATTTAACCAAGCCAATTTTTTCGTACAATTCATGCAGTCAAGCACTTAAAATAATAAATTACATCCCGAGAACTTATTTTTTATCATCAAAAATAGAAAAAAATATTGAACCAATTTTTGAGATGTTACAATCAATATCACTATAATCCACTTTACATGCAAGGAGAAATTTATTAGTATGTCATGGCTTCATTGTTCATATAATATCATCCATCAATTGTTCAAAGCATTAATTAAGCATGTTTATCTTATATTTTTCCTTATTAGCAACATAATCATTTTCATCATATATCTATATTTCGAGACTTCCTAACATTACTCTTGAACTTCAACATGCATGTATCTATTTTCATTTTCCTATACTTGATACACATTTTCATACAAATACATAATTGGACTTTTTCCATTTTCATGAATTAGTATATGTATAATCATAGCTTGAAACATATAAAAATTAGATATTTTAGGATTTTGACTGTAAAAATCATCCAACACCGTTGACTGTGATCGGTGATGACCGACGACAGTTGAAAATGTGACTGAAATTAGATATTTTAGGATTTTGAGGTTACTTTTATAATTTTAATTTTTTTTATAAATTTAATAAATCTTTTAGTTTTTAATATGTTTTTTGAAATTATCATATCATGACATGTGTCACTTAATGATCAAATTTAGCAATTGTTATAGCCCGATCACCTAAAAAGGTATCTATTATAACGTTAGGCATCTATTATTACTAAAAAAAATTTAAGCACCAAAACATAATTCAAAGTTTAGTTTAGACACTTAAAAGTGTATTAAACCTAGAAAAATAATACCCCTCTAATTAATAAAAAATATATAAAATATACCCTTACCTAATAATATTGAGTTGATATCTATAAAATAAATACAAAAGAAATACATGAGCTGTTAGGACAAAAACATGTTTTCAGCAATCTCGCTGTCTGAATCCAATCTTTCCCACTTTCCGTCTCTCCTACTTCAAGTCAATCTCTTAGTTTTAAATTCACTCTCAGATCGCTCCACCTTGAAATCTACCCATACATGGGATGCCAGTTGCAAACGCCATTGATGAGAGCTTAGTTTAGTTTACACAGTGATAAACATTTAAAGAATTTTTTATACATCACTTGGATCTCTTTTCCTGCTCTGTTTTTGCTTCTTTTTACATAACAACCCTTATGGGTCAAGACAGTTTCACTCCCCAAAAGAGATCTTCCATTGGCGGTGGCGGCTTACCCACCACCAACAACGCTGCTGCAGGTGGCGGACGAGCTCGTATGTTAGCCGGAATGCCGCGTGGGAGGCAGATCCACAAGACCTTCAACAACATTAAAATCACAATCCTCTGCGGCTTCGTTACCATACTCGTTCTACGGGGCACAATCGGCGTTGGCAATTTGGGAAGCTCCGAAGCCGAAGCAGTCAACCAAAACCTAATCGAAGAAACCAACCGGATCCTTGCTGAGATCCGCTCCGATTCCGACCCAAACGACCCGGACGAACCTTCCGAAACTGAGTTCAACCCTAATGCTACCTACACGCTCGGGCCCAAAATATCGGACTGGGATCAGCAGCGTAAGGTTTGGCTTTCGAAAAATCCTGAATTCCCTAATTTTGTTAATGGAAAAGCTCGAATCTTGCTCGTTACTGGGTCGCCCCCTAACCCATGTGATAATGCTATAGGAGATCATTATTTGTTGAAAGCGATAAAGAATAAGATTGATTATTGTCGGCTTCATGGTATTGAAATTGTTTATAATATGGCTCATTTAGATAGGGAGCTTGCTGGGTATTGGGCGAAATTGCCTTTGATTAGGAGGTTAATGTTGTCTCATCCTGAAGTTGAGTGGATTTGGTGGATGGATAGTGATGCTTTTTTTACAGATATGGTGTTTGAGATTCCTTTGTCCAAGTATGACAAATATAATTTGGTTGTTCATGGTTACCCCGATCTAATGTTTGAGCAGAAGTCATGGATTGCTTTGAATACGGGAAGTTTTTTGTTTAGGAATTGCCAATGGTCGTTGGATTTGCTCGATGCTTGGGCGCCAATGGGGCCAAAGGGTCCTATTCGCGAGGAGGCCGGGAAAATTTTGACAGCTAACTTGAAAGGAAGGCCAGCATTTGAAGCCGATGATCAGTCGGCTTTGATTTACTTGTTGCTTTCGCAAAAGGAAACGTGGATGAATAAAGTGTTTCTTGAGAATCAATATTATTTGCATGGTTATTGGGCAGGGTTGGTTGATGGGTATGAGGAAATGATGGAGAAATATCATGCGGGCCTGGGAGACGAGAGGTGGCCATTTGTGACTCATTTTGTTGGTTGCAAGCCGTGTGGGAGTTATGGAGATTACCCTGTCGAGAGGTGCTTGCGCAGCATGCAAAGGGCATTCAACTTTGCAGATAATCAGGTACTTAAACTGTACGGGTTTAGACATAGGGGATTGTTAGGCCCCAATATTAAGAGGATCAGGAACGAGACTGTGACTCCTTTGGAGATTGTTGATCAGCTCGATATTCGTCGTTCGGGGCAAGGGAAAACTGAATCGCTGAGCCAATGATTGAAACATATTTACTGTGTTATAATGTGTAGGTAATGTGATTCCTGCTGTTGAAAAGCCATTTCAATTTGATATCAGTTTATGTTTAAGTTTTGATGATCTGTTGTCACTGTGCCTGTTGAGAACAAGATATTTGAATTCTTTTATTAACTTTCAATTTGAGTGGTTTATGAAAGAAATTTAATAGTCAATGATATTACTTCATCTCTTTTTGCGTTCTTTTACTGCATATGGGAATCGATTTCCCTTGTCTTGAATTTCTCTTTGTTTGGTATTGAATGGAATGAAACTTAGGGAATCCATGTCTATATTGCAAGTTGCACATCACATTTTTCCACATTAGCTTCTTTTTTCTGTTTTTGCTGTGCCTCTTTGTTCTGTAAAACAATTAGTAGATGATAAAGACTATGTTACTCGAGACTCGAGTACAAGTATGTTGTGTTCATTTTATGTTACTCAGACTCGAGTACAAGTATGTTATGTTCATCCCCCCCCCCCCTGAAGGGTCCTTGAAGGGATACATTTTCATAGCCAAAGTATATCGGTCTATCGGATATATTTCAAGGAAAGAAGAAATCAGAGCAATATAGGATGGAAACAAGGCAAGACTTTGTTATTTTCATTGTAATAATTTTATATGCTTGAAATTTGCATATAGAAGCTTAGAAATTTGTGTTGGTGATGGATGATTCACTTTAGTTGAGGATTCTTATAGGCTCACGCATGAAGGGGTGAACTTTTGAATACCTACGGATGTCATGATTTCATCCATTTCTATGTTCACAAACAAAACAGGATTTGTGGTAGATGTGTTTGACATACAAGGACATGAATATGATCTTCATTATATTCTACAAATATATTTAAAAAGGCATACCTATATCTGAATTTCTATCATTGGTCGATATTTAAAACAGTAAATATTAGTATGAACTAAGCGACTTTAATGTTAAAGGGATTTGTTAAAGCCGTTTAAGGTCTCGGATTTGAGCACTGCATATATAGTGGTATGAGCGATTATTGTCAAATGGTTGAGAATCTTGAAACATATATTATATTGTATTCATATCAGATTTATAAAAAAAATTGTAAACATTAAAATCTAAGAACAGAATCAAAATATCCAGGGGAGAAATGTAATGAACTTTGCTTCGATTCCAATAATATCAGTGAAATAGAAAAAGGAGGATAAAAAAGATGAGAAAGGTTTCAGCAAGAAACGCTGAACTTAAAGAAGAGTATACAAGGGTTTAACAAATATCCTCTCCTCATCTTAACTTATTTATACTAATTTTTCTGCAATATAATTAAAATAAAATCCTACAAAATGATTCAACAATATCTTCAAAATAATATCCTTCACAACTGTAACAATTTTGTTAGCGCATTTGGTTCTTTGTTTATAACAATACAATCCCCTGGAAAAAGAATCTTGTCCTTGAGGATCTCTAGTAATGTCGGAAGAGTAATTTGTTGCGGTAGATGTTCTCGATATAGCTTTGTTGAAGTTTGATTTCTAATATTTTGATATAATAAATAAATAAATAAATAAATAAAAATTTGGACTTAATTGAATTTGTTCAAATATTTCAACAATAATTCAAATTCTATAAAACTTGAGTTTGAACAAAATGGTTTTTTGGGTGTGAAGTACATATACTTTCTCAAGAAGTATCGATAATGTATAAACAGTATCGATACTCTCCATGTTGTATTGATACTATATATAATAGAAGTATTAACAATCCCACGGTAGTAGTGATACTACCTAATGGTTTCAAACTCTAGAATTTTCAGTATGCAAAGACAGTACAATATCACTCTTAACAATAGTATCGATACTAATTGGTATAGTCTCGACACTTCCCTTGCATAACGACTATATTTTTATATTTAATATAGGTAGTATACAATATCGATACTCTAAGCATTTGGGTAACCTTTATTGTAGAAAAAATTTCCCCCAATGGTTGTAACTCATCCCCAACAACCATAACCGGTTAGTGTTGCGGAATATGGCTATCAGATAGAGCAAAATCGTAACTGATAATTTGAGAAAATAAAAATGAAGATAAAGAAGACACAAATTTTACGTGGAAAACCCCTAAATAATATAGGGTAAAAACCACGGGCAATGGTAGAAGAATTTCACTATGAGAAAATATAGGAATTACAACTTCTCTCGATCTAACAAGGAGAAAACAATGACAATTATCTCTTGATAAAAAAGAGAAAATAACTCTCAAGAAAACTCTCTAAATTCTCTAGTATTGGGAGAAAACTAGAATGATTTGGGATGGTTTTGAAGCTAAATGGGTTAGGGTATTTATAGTTGAAGCTTAAAGACTAATATTGTAAATACCTTAAAGTACATGGACTAAATTGGGTAATTTTCCCTTGCCAATTTCAACAAAAACATGTTGCCTAATTTTGACCAAATCAGCCGCCCCATTTGTTGCCATCAACTGCCCCATTTGATGCCATCTATTTTTGACTTTCAACAGTTAGAAACTAATTCCACACTATAAAAATAATCCAAGGACACTTGAATAAGATTACTACACCTATCCAAGCTTAAAGTTCAAGAGAAAATAGTTTCCATTCTTAATTCTTTTATTTACTTTAAACCGATTGTGTCAAAAGTTTTAATTTTATATCCAAGCTTCCATCAATTTATCCAAAAGCCAATTCATCCCTTTTGGTGGTATTTTGATTGATTCATAAAACTAACAATTGATGTTAAAGCGGGTCTTTATCGACATCTTAACAACCTTGAGAAGTTCCTAGAATAGCTTTATCTATTTATACATCAACCTTGAAGATGACTTCAACTTCTTTTTCTTACTATCTTGAAGATTCTCAATCCATCACAAGATTTCCAAATTTCAATGGTGCAAATTATTCTTATTAGAAGAATAGAATGATGTTATTTATTCAAGTAACCAATTTGGCGATTTGGGACATTGTGCTTGATGGTCTATCAATTTCTCTAAAAAAATAAGGAAAGTTATTTCTACTAAAGATCAAACCAGAGTGGAATGATAAAGATAGGAGAAAAGTCAAACTGAATGTCAAAGTTGTGCACGTTATTTTTTGTGCACTTGGATCGGATGAATATATTAGAATTTCATCATGTTCAAATACCAAAAATATTTAGGACAAGTTGGAGTTGACATATGAAGGAACAAGTCAAGTGAATAAGTCTAAATTTGACATTATCACTTTCAACTATGAAAACTTCAAGATGAAACCTTATGAAGACATAAAGACGATGTTTGATCGATTCATTACCATCATCAATAGGCTGAAGACTTTTGGGAAGACATATCCTAATGAAAAGACAGTAAGAAATATGCTCTCTTGCTTACCAATGTTTTGTGAAGTAAAAAGAACTATCATTGAAGAAGCCAAAGATTTGGAGGCTATTACTCTTGATGAACTTATTAGCTTCTTACTCACTTATGAGATGAGACTTCAAAGTCCATAAAACTTAAGTTTGAACAAAACACTTTTTTGGGTGTGAAGTACTGATACTTCCTCATGAAGTATCAATATTGTATGAACAATATCAATATTGTTCGTGTTATATCGATACCACATATAATAGAAGTACTGATACTTTCATGGTAGTACCGATACTACCTAATGGTTTCGAACTTTGGATTTTTCAATATGCAAAAACAATATTAATACTCCTTAGAGTACCGATACTACTCGATAAAGTACCAATATTTCCCTTGCCCAACGATTATATTTTTGTATTTAATGCAGGTAGTATTGATACTCAAGCATGCAATATTGATACTCCAATGTTTGGGTAGCATTTATTGCATAAAATTTCCACCAATGGTTATAACTCATCTCCAACGGTCATAAATAGTTAGAAACTAATTCCACACTATACAAATAATCCAAAGACACTTGAAGAAGGTTACTACACCTATCCAAGCTTAAAGATCCAGAGAAAAAGAGTTTTCATTCTTAATTCCTTTATTTTCTCTTGTACATAGTGTATTGAGCATTATTGAATATCTTTGTATTCATTATTTGTGAGCCTAAGTTTCTATCTAAGATCTGAAAAAATAATGTTATAAAGGTTAAACTGTGTCCTTGAAAGATTCAATTCAAGTGAGCGAATTAAGAAATCCTTAGTGCTGAAAAGCTAAGGTAGTGGATATAGACTTTGGTTGAGAAAGTCGAATCACTCTAAATCGATTGTGTCAAAAATTTTAATTTTTTGTTCAAGCTTCCATCAATTTATCCAAAAGTCAATTCACCCTCCTCTTGGTGATTTTTTGGTTTATCCATAGAGCTAACAAGTTTCAACCAGAAATGTGAAAAAATGGAAGGGATTCGTGTTGATGTTGGCAAATCCAACTTGTTGGCAACCTCTCCAACCCTTTGATATGGTCTAAAAAACTCAGAACTCAACTTTTATGGAGGAAAACAGCAAAGAAAATTATTGATACAGTAGCAAATGCTAAAAGGTCCATCTACCTTCTTCTAATATTGATTCCCATCTCTTCTTATCAGCAGGGTACATAAAAGTTCCCCCATAGAGTAACATGTAATGGACATCGGCTACCATGTTTATGATATATCCCAGAGACTTTGAAGAGGAAGAATCCTTAGGAAACTTGAATTTTTCCACGTACTTGGACGTTGGAACATCACAATTCTTGGTCTTTCCTTCATTAATTGAATAGATCTTTCCTTTCTTCAGAATCTTGATGTCTGGATGAGTTGGGAATGCTCTTAGAGATGGATCAAAGGTGAATCCATTAACTTGGTTCCCAATGCTTAACACAAGCGTGTAAGAACTTCTGTACATGCAATAGCCAGAGACTACAATTTGCTTCTTGGGATGCAACACATCATTTAGAGTTGGGTCATGGTTATTCTTTGCAATGTAAATCCCAAAAATTGTTTCGATGGAAACACCACAATCAATGTTGGAGGAGTAGATCATAAAATACGCAGTACCTTCCATGCTTCGAGTGCTCCATAATGATTGCCTCATCTTCTTTTGATACAAGGTTGCAAGTTCTACCACTGCTCACTAAACCCATGATAAAGACTTCATTTGTAAGCTCATCCAGTTTCTATTTCTCTTCCCCAATAAGTCCAATGAGTTTGGCTAGACCAACCTTGCTAACAAAAATACAAATGAACGTGAAACCAAGAACGATGTGACTGAGCAAGATGGTGAAATCTC